AAGTATCTGAAATGATGAAAAACTGTGTTACAGGCTGTGAGAAGGGTGCTGTCCTAGCATGAAAGTGAGGGGGTGTGTGATACGTTTTGGCATGTGGTCACGTTTGAGGGTGCACAGCTTGAGCAGTTTAGAAGAGCAGGTGCTGTGAAGTCCAGCAAGATATGATGTCAGGAGCAGTGCTTGGTGCAGACTCTCCCTGCAGCAGTGGGCAGCCATTGCTTGAGAGAGGGCTTGGTGGAACATGGGGAGGTAATGAGGAGCTGTGGGGAGCAGCAGCAGGGGCTTGAGCTTGCTCCCCAGCCTGCCGCAGTAAGGATGAGCTCAGAGGAATCCCAAGCATCTATCTGCTGCTGGAGCCACCTATTTTAGTAGATGTGGTAGAAATGTATTCTCTAGAAAGGGAGTTTCTCTGCCATTTATCTTACCTCTGCTTGTGGTAAACTCCCCATGAATTTTGCTTGCACTGGTCTTCTACTCTGGATAGGAAATCCTTTTTCTTAAAATTCTAAATTTTGTGGAACTCACTGCCAACCTCAGTTTCCCCATCACTAATGCCATGATTTTAACTATATGAAAAATGGCATGAGGAAAAGGGAGTTCTATAAACATCTACTCTTGGAAAATAACAAGTCAACCCATACTGAAACCAGTCAGGATTAAAAATTAGAAAATAAATTCAAAAAAAGGATATGAAGCCTTTTTCTACTTATATCAACCAAATATTAATTAACTAGGGGTCAAGGAAATTTTTTTCCTCAATTATTCAATTGAAATCATCAGTGTGTCTTAACTAAAGCAGATGGTGAGGGTCACTACTGCAGCACAGTTCTGATGCAGTGTAACTCCTACTGATGTTAATTTCAGAAAAACACTACTTAGCTTATTATTTGTTTAAAGAAATAAAAAATAAGTGAATGAGAAATCTGCAGTGTTTAAGAAACTTTAGCCGTGTTTAGAAACCTTAGTGCTAATGACTAGCAGCGTTTAAGAAACGCTAATCTGTGCTTGAAACTGTTAAGCTCTGTTTTGTGAGTAGGAAATACATGTTTGTACAGTAGGGTCCTGCTTTAACAGTTTAATCTTTTACTTAGGTTAAACTTTATTCTACATGGTAATAACTTGATGCAGTAGCCTAATTCAACAATCACTTTTCACTGTTCATTGATTTTTTGGTGGTACTTACATGATTAGAATTTTATTAGTTCTAGCAGAAAAGATGCTAAAAACAGCTCT